AAAAAAAGAAACTCTAGTAAAAAAACCCCCAAAATCCAGTCTTTTCATATATGCGTAACCTCATGACTTTAAATGCTTTGAAATTTTAAAACCTTGTACTTCTTTTTGCATAGAGCTCTCAGTATGTTCAGTGTGTTGCCGGATGTCTGCAGCTGATGCTTCGGGTCAATGAGTACCGCTTTGCCTGGGTAGAAGCAGATGGCGTAAACTGGTGAGTGCCCTTTTACTTTTTATTTTTTTTTATAATTTTTTTTTATTGTGTAGAACAACGTTTAAAAGCATCTCTCCTTGACATTTGCAAAGAAATTAATACTATTAATCATCCAAAAGAAGTATTTTAATTTTTTATGTCTGTTTACAATGGATTATGCTAACCTTCCTTGAAATCAATAATAATTTCAGTTAGAATGTTTCCCATTTCCTTTGCTTGGTCTGTGCTATTATAAGAGGCTAAGGATTCCTAAAAAAACAAATCTTGATAGAATGAATTCCAAGTACTCAGAATAGAAAAAAAATTTTAAAGTATCTTGCAGTAAATACAGGCAAAAATCAACAGTAAAAGGTATTATACTGAAAAGAGTGAATATGAGCCATTATTTATAATGCTATATAATTAGTCCGTTCTTTGTGGGGTCCTCATTTGCAGGTCCAGAAACTCTGAGGAGCTGCCTTCTCAGGTTTAACAAATGTGTTTTTACAAACACGCAAAACAAACAAATAAGATTCTTTTACTACCTGAAAGCCAATTTATTTATTTATAGTGAGAGATCGTGTTGCTCTTTAACCAGATACTCTTTTCAGTTAGTGAGGACATTGTTTCTCTGTTGGAAAACCTATACAGGAAAGCTAGTTTATCAACAGAAGGTTGCTTGGTGAGCAAGGCTTGAGAGCAGAAGAGTTGACTGAATGATCCTGGTGCTGTGGTATACTGATACATCCATCTCCAGTTTAGGAATATACCTGCCAAAGAGACCAAATACCCTAGATCTTCTCAACCAATATTTGCATGCAGTTTCTTAGGGTGGGTTATTTCTGCAAATGGCTGTTATGAATTGCATTTGAATTGTCATGAGCTACTCCATAACCATTGACTCAATAGGTTAGTAATCTTATAATAATCTGCAAAATTTCAATCTATTTATACTTATTTAACCCCCAGTATGTCAGGAAAAATAGTTATCAAAATTTTCTATCTAGATCCTTTGTAAAATATATATTTAATCACTTTATGAATAATTAATAGAATTAAGAAAAAAGAGATAGTAAAAAACAACCATTAGAAATTTTAATAAGAATTTTTACATAGCATACTATTTTGTAGTAAGTGAATTTTCGTGCACAAATATCATAAAAGATGAAAGAAAACCATCGCATATCCTTCTAGCAAAATGGAATGGTCCAGGTTGTTGTTGCAATTAGGTTAACTTATTGACCAATTTCACCATCATTATTATAGAATGGAATGCTCTCTGTCTGTTTGCTTTCATCTTCTGATTCATCTAATAATTGTGAAATGCCTTCCTCAGGCAATTGTCATTATAGACAGAAAATAAAAAGTTCTGAATTCTCAGCTGTGTTCACACTGTGTCAGGAGACTCAACAGAAGGACTCAGGGGACTCAGCATAATAAATACTCATGGCTGAGATTTATTACAGAGACAGGGTAGGGATACATAGCTGGATCATAAGGGACAGAGTCACAGGCTGAATCTGGAGGAATCCGTGTGAAGCTTTCTTATGTGCTCTTCCTTCCATGATGGGGTCACTTAGCACACTCTTCCCTCAGCAATGAAAGTGCAACAACATTTGTGTAAGGTTTCTGCCCAGGAAACTCATTAGGGACTTCATACCCACAGTTTTTTTGGAGGTTTATCAGGTAGGCATCCTCTGCTTAACACACTGCAAAATTCCAGACTCCAGAAGGAAGGCCAGGTGTTCAGCATAAATGTCATTTGTGCAGCTTATCGTTTAGGAAAAGTTTTGTATCAGTGTAGGGAACTGTTTACCAGTCAAGTTCCCACAGCTATCCAAGGGCCAGCTTTGCAGGCAGACTTTTCTAAGGATAGCAGTCAGAGGATGATGATGTTAATAAAGGTAGACTAGAAAGATGGTGATTCTAGTCTTTTCACCTTAAAAAATGATGCAACATTTTGGGTAATACAATAAAAAAGGATAATTATTTACTTATCTATCAGTGTTATCAATATTTATTTATCAGTATTATCTTCATAAGTGATTCCATTATTCCCCAATTTTCTTACAATTTTAGTCTTTAAATTTTTTTAGCATAGTTGGGAATAATGAATGAATAATGATGAAATAATATCTAGGGTGATGAAATTGTGTAATTCTCCAAATTATATATAACATAAAACCTCTAAGGTCCCATAACATATTTTAGGTTTAGTAGACCTGTATGATAATTGCAAAATTGAATTTATTCTGTTGAACAAAAAGTAGATTTTTTTTCTGTTCTTTGGAAGACTAGTAAGAGAGAATAAAAGTCTTGAAACAAATTTCTACAAATAGTATAATTGTTCAAAAAATAAACTCAAATACAAAAATTTACATCAATAAACTGTAATGGTCTGTGCTACTATAAGAGGTTAAGGATTCCTTTCTGAAGCAGTTCTGGAAGTCCTCTTTCGTTAGTGTCTTTAGTTGTGCTGTCGTGGCTGCCTCGATGTTTTGAATTGATTTCAAATGTTTACCTTTCATGGGCATTTTGACTTTGGGGAAGAGACAGAAGTTGCACAGTGCCAGATCTGGTGAACAAGGTGGATGAGGACATACTGCAATGTTTTGATTTGACAGAAATTGCCATACCAGAAGTGATGTGTGACATGGAGCCTTTCCATTGTTATCAAAAACAGCAGCATGGTGAATGGTGCTGCCGATTGCCATCCAATGGAAAGGCAAGGATCTTCAATATGGGAATGGGTGCATTGAACCTTAGTAACAGTGTGTGACAAGTTTCAACTTCTTCGGTGCAGTCAGTTGGGTGTGATATATGGTTGAGAGAAGGTGTGTTTTCAAGTGTGCCGTAAGTCATCCACCATCATGACAATGCTCTGTGTCACATTTCGCAAAACATTACGGTGTGTCCTCATCCACTTTATTCATCTGATCTGGCACCGTGTGACTTCTGGCTCTTTCCCAAAGTCGAAATGACCATGAAAGGTAAACATTTTGAACTGATTCAGGACATCCAGCCAGCTCCAACAGTGCAACTAAAGATACTCATGAAAGAGGACTTCTAGAACTGCTTCAGAAAGTGGCAAGAACGATGGGATAAGCATGCTAAAAACGAGGGGAGTTAATGGTAATGTGTCTTTTACTGTAATAAATTTTTAAAACTTTAAACATTTACTGTATTGTTTGATACTCTTCATATACCTGCCCTTCTGTAGTTTTCCCTATTATTATATTAACATTTTACATTAATGTGCTACATTTGTTTCAGTTGATGAGCCAGCATTGATACATTCCAGCATCTCTAGTTTACATTAGGGTTCACTCTTTTATGTTGTACATGTTTTGAGTTCCTCTTAACCACACTCTGATCACTTTTTAGTGGTCTAATTTGATGGTTTCTATCCTTTGTTGTGTGAATGTAGGCATTTCCCAGAGTAATTTCCTTAGCACTCTTCCTTGGTGTAATCTCTTTCACTTCCATTTAGCTTTCCTAATTTCCTTATCAGTAAAATGGGAAATTGAACTAGAAGCTTCTGTGGTTCTAATCCTGAAATTCAATGATTGGCTATGTTAAATTCAGACTCATAATGGGTTTTTCCAATCTCATCCCCACTTTTCTCCTTTGAGTTTCCTAAATATTTTTAAAGCTGTAAATGATCCGCTTGGTCGTCAAGACTCAAAACCTTGATATAACATCTTACCTCACCAAGATGTACATCCATGTGTCACCAAGTGCTGTTGACTTTAGCTCCTTTAATGTCTGTCCAATTCTTGTTCCCGTTCCTACTGCCATGTTGCAAATCTATGTTCTCTTTCTCATTGCTTCCCTTCAGCAAATGCTGCTGCTTGCCCACGTCCTATGACTTTCGGAGAGAGGGTTAACTGAAACTGTGCTGTAAATTGCCCTGTATGAGTAGGGATCTAGCTTGCTTGTTATTGCTGGCAGAAAAGAAACTTGAGGACATAATTTTGTTTCATTAGTGCAAAAAGAATGATCAATTATTTCTTCTTGTTGCACTGTTATATTAAATGTTTTCTTAATATGTGTTCCTTTTCAGCATAATGGGAGTTTTGAGTAACAAGTGTGGCTTTCAACTCCAGTATCAAATGATTTTTTCATTATGGCTCCTGGCATTCAGTCCTCAAATGTGTGAACACCTGCGGCGCTATAATATCATTCCTGTTCTGTCTGATATCCTTCAAGAATCCGTCAAAGAGAAAGTGACAAGAATCATCCTGGCAGCATTCCGTGTAAGTGTTCTGTTGTGTTTTTTATGGCGCATGTGCATGTCTGTGTGTGTGTGTGTGTGTGTGTGTGTGTGTG